GTGCGAAAGTCACTTTTGGCTCTCTTTAGCATGCAGTATTTACTGCTCACTAATCAGTATAAGCAAGAATATAATTTTTACATTTTATATATTTTGCGATTATGCATTTCACCATTTAAACACTTCAATGAACTAATCAGTCTGGGAAAGTTGCACTTTCATATCCAGTATCCCTCTTTGCAGAACTGTTTTGCCCACGCTGAAATCATGTAAACTCAGAGTATAAATGTCACAAGCTGTTCCATCCATCCGCTGACAGCACTTCAGTATCACTTGAAAGAGTATATATCTGTAATACATACATGGGCTAAAAATGGCCTCTGAGGCCTTTACAGTGCGCTGCAAAGAGTTCGAACCTACGTTAAGAATTTCTCTCTGTTCACTCTCTGATGAATATGAAAAAAATACTCAGCGCACAGGCGGAACAGATCAACAGATCTTCCATATTGTCAAATTTGTCTGCTTTGGCTTTCTGCTGACAGCTCGGCCTCATAGCTCAAATCCCTGCAGAACATCTGCGCACTGATGCTCGTAGTACTGACTGATACCGCGTGTCATTTCAAAGAACCGACAAGCCGTTAGCGTGGGGAAACAATGGCATTTGCCTGCCTCTGAAATTGCAATACGCCACTGTTTGCATTAATGTCAGCAGCATGACTCAAAGACTCCGACAGCGGCAGAGGCGAGATATGATATGATTTCTTTATGGAGCTCCCAGTGTCCACAAACAGAGAGGCTGCGGGTAAAGCGGCTTGACTATCCTGAGGACAGAATAGCGGTTTTGCGTCAGCGAGCTCCTGTCTGCTACACCGCTGGGCTGTTTGTGCTCTCTTGCGGTTGGTGAACAGGGAGTGACATATTGTCTCTGTGATAGAGACCTAACAATGTTGTGCACTGTAGGGGTATGGCTACATACTGCAGTAAGTCAATGAGCTTTTCAAGATTTACCATGTCATGTGACCAGAGAAACAGAGAGAGAGAGAGACAAAGTCTTGCCTAACCGAGCCTCTCTCTCTGTCTGTCTGTCTATCTATCTGTTTATCTGTCTCTATCTGTCTGTTCGTTCGTTCTTTCTGTCCATCTATTTACCACAATTCAGTCCATGAATTCAGACATTCTCCATTCATATGAAATTAGAATTTGCCTATTTTATGTGGAACATTCACCAGATGGTCCGTGAACAGACTATTTGAGTCTGAGTCTAGGTCAGCAAACAGTAACAGAGTCTGATAGTAGAATGACAAGGGTAGCATTTAAAGCCAAATACCCCCATGTAGATAATAGGCCCATTGCTGTTGCTCACAGTGCATGTGTTTTCAACACACGTGGTGTTGACATTGATCTGCTCAGTGTCTTGTCTTGATCCCAGCGGCGACGATAATGCTGTCCATCGCTGCAGTGTGACCCCTATCAACAACTCTGAGATGATTCCAATTGTGATGTGTTGAAAGTTGAAATTGGCTTGATAGCTCTGTTTGTGAAGATGGCACAAAGGAGACCGTTGCGCCGCACACGCCTAGAACCAAGATTTGTATTTTTTTTATTTTTTAGTTGTAGAAAAGAACCCAAGCGTACAATAAGACGCACAATGAAATGATTAATGAAGTGAAATGAGAGGTATGTTAGAATAGTATGTCTTCTACAGTGCGAAATGGGATTTGCACAAGGAGAACATGCTTCTGGCTCTGAAAATAACCAATAATAGCTCTGATTTTAGGGTTAGGCTTTGATTGGTTGGGTTAATCGAAGTAAAGCCTTTCTTTGGCTCAGTCTCAAATGCACCACTTGATTTGGTCTTACACAACATTATATGCAGCAAAGATGTAGATGTAGAAAGCAGAGAGCCTTTCTATCTATCTATCTTTCTTTCTTGATTAAGCTTTTTCTTAATCTTTATTTTCGGCTTTTCCATCTCAGAAGCTCAAAAACGTAGCTTGCTCTCTCCTCATATTTCAAGGCATTCGATTTTGTCAATCCGACAGGCCGGTGGCGATATTTATTGGCAGATTGTTGCAAATCCATTCATAATTATTCTACGTTTGCCCCGTTTGTATTGGGTAGAGGAATATGGAGACTCTGCTGAATCAGCAGCCCTGTCGCTGCAAAATAAATGCTTATGATCACAATGACAGGAATCTTTTTTTTATTTTTTTTATATATATATTCAAGGCGGCAGCCTCTCCACCACCCCGCCAATGCTAAGTGCAGCTGGATGTGTGCCCACGGTACTTAGCTTTATGCGTCTTCGGAGGGGGATAGAATGGTGCACACATGACGCAACTGCAGAAATGAAATGCCTCATATACATTTTGTAATGTCAGATGTGTTTTCTGTTGTTTCACAGGGCAGCCGCTGATGCTTTTGCTGCAATGTTATGCTCAAGTAAGTTCCTTTTGCTTTAACTTTTGTAAACATGCTGGGGCATCACAATAATGTTTCTGGAGACAAATTCTCCCAGCATGCTTGGCTTCAAAGCTCTGTTCCAAAGGTTTTATATTTGTGTTTTTATTTATTTTAAGGTTTGCTGTCTACTTTATATAGTGCATACATATTTTAAATAATATATAGTATCACTTTTGCAATTTTTTAAAATCCTTTTAAACATATACACATACATACAGGTTATAAATTATGTATGAAATGAATAAAATATATATTTTTATTATTCTCTCCGTGTATGTATGTATATGTGTGTGTGTGTGTGTGTGTGTGTGTGTTTTAGTCCACGCTACCTGCAGTTAATCTGTCGTCCTGCAGGGGTCAGTGTGACTCTGTGAGTCCCATCCTTCTCTCTCCCATTGAGAACACAGCCGCTGCACCTGTTGAAGCTCTGCAGTCAGCGAGCCTGTGAATAACGCAATGCTCTGTGGGGCTTTTAGGAGCCTGCTCTAAAAGAAACACATCTGGCCAGTGATGCCACAATTAATTCTCCTCGGTTTAGCAAAGCTAAGTTGTCTGTGCCTTTTGTCTGCGCGCTTTTTATTTCTCCGGAGGACGTGGCGAGAGCTTGATAATCATCTAACGTGGCCATATTTCCTCCAGCGAGCTTTGCAGAAGTATTGTCATGTTTTATACACATCAGATATGCACTGCGACATTTGTACCAGTGATTATAAGACACAGAATCTCCGGAGTCCACGATGACAGGACATTTCCATATTCTGAGAAATCATATTCCACTGTATTCACAGACCCTGCTTTAAACTCCTAGAAGCCCTCTGGCTACATTAGCAGCACCAAAAAATCCTTCAAGAAGTCCAAGCCTGATAGAAACCATCGCAGACATTAATATTTCAGATTGCTGTATTTGTGCAAGTCATAGAACTGCAGTGTTTTTAAGTTCATGACTCCCATACTGGGAGTTCAGGAGGGATACAAGCCAAGGAAGTATTCACAACACAGGCTTCGGAACTACCCAGAACAACGTGAAAGTGATGTTCTTTTTTCCCTTATTTCCTTTTGTAATTCCATCACTGATTGTTTTGCGCGCTCGTGGAAGTAAATACCGCTGACCTTCATTCATATCACAAACACTCCCGCTGCTCTCCGTTACGGCTTCCATTATGTGCACTGATCGCACAGCGCGATTGGCCGCTTTCCAACCCCTTCATCAGAAGCAAGGAGACTTTGGGCAGAGAGTCCAGCGAACTCCCTCGCATGGAGCCCCCTGCCCCTTCTCTCAGCGTCTTCGGCTGGAGAGATTTATGGAGGAACCAACTGAATACTGAGCTTGGAGGATTTCTCTTAAAACAAGGAGAGTGGAAATTCTTTTGACAGATTCGCAGGCGGGCTTTCAAACATTGATTTAATAATGTCACTTCAGTCCTGGAAAGAGATCAGCGGAAGACACACAGTGAATCTGAAACAAATCCTCTGCTCAGACAGATAGAAACAATGCAACCAAAACGAGCTAGAATTGAAATGGCATTAAAATGCATCACTTTCCATTTGGAATAATACCAAAATGGCCATTTAATTGTAACTGTTTCCTGTGCAACCGTTTTAGGTGTTTGTGAGGTCCCAGAGGTCGACTTGTAAATACATTTGCATAAGACATGGGTACAAAAATACCTCCATTTAATTGTACACATGAACTACAATTTCCACTTCACCAATAGCATTATGAAGAGCTGTTTCTCTGTTTGTAATGCTATTATTGAATTTCTGAAACCACAAAGCAGATCAGAATTAAGTAGTTGGTCCCAATTGGACTCAAGGTTTTGTGCAGTGCTGCAAACATGTAGTTAATTTGAATAAGCAGTTGATGGGTGTTTGCAACCTTTTCCAGGTTCTTTTATGTATGATATATATTTTTTTATAATTTTATTTTAATATTATTTAACATTTTACTTTTTTGTTTGACATTTTTTAATTTTATATCTATATTTATACTGTTTATTTTTATATCTTTATTTAAACTATATTTATATATACTATATTTACTCTTAATATTTTAACTTTTTTTTTTTTTTTGATATATAAGGCAGCTTTGCCTGAATTTTTTGGCATAGAAGGCAATCCAATAAGCAACAAACTCTGTGAAAAATCCACCCAAAGGGGCTGGCAAAACCAGACTTTTTTTATATTAAAAATTAATTTGTGTAATCTATGTATTTCTATGCTTATTCCAGTATTGCCTTGTTAGATTAGCAACATGCTAATGCCAAACCCTAGCAGACAACAAACAAACAAGGTTTTGAAATAAAGTCGTAAAGAAAAAAAACAACTCCAATCAGCTCTGAATTAAGCGTTAATTCATTTAAAACATTGAATACTAAGCACAGCAATGATGTAACCCTTTTTGTTTGGTTCATCTAAAGCGGTGATTAAATGAGGTCGCTTTTTGAATTCGTAGTGGACAGCTTGAGTTTATAGTAAAATGGCCATTTTGATATTAAATATCAGAAGTTAATTGGGTTGCTAAGATACAGATTCTTGGCATTAACAAAGAATTGCGTCCTGGTGTTTTATTGCTTCTCATTCAGTATTCTCAATTAGAATTGACAGTAAATATTGTACATGTAAAAAGGAAACCTAATTGTCACAGTAAGATGAGTAACAAATGTTAGACTCGATCTGCTTGCTAGTTCACTTCACTAGTCTTTGCACACAAAAAATATATATTTAGTTTTATTTCATATTTTATATTTATGTGTGAATGTCATTATAGATGTATTGTTTTTCTTAATAAAAAATAAAGGCCAAACTCATATTTCATAATGCCACTGTACATTTAACAGATACAACAAAGATGTATGATGCATGTTACACAGCGACGTTATTGATACTAGCTATATTGTGTGTGACCCCGTAATTGCATCGCAAGTAGTCGAGTCATCAGTGTCCTAATATTTAGTAGAACAAGACCCTAGCTGGCCGTATTCTTGTTCATGATATACTGATTGCCGACATGGAGAATAAGGGGTGCTATGAGACATAACTGCGCTTAACTCAGGCACCAGACCTATCACTGGCTTAAAGAACGGAAATTAAATCTTAAGTCCATCTTGTTTTTTATCTCATTTAACCTTTTGTGCCATACTGAGAAATCTTTTCGCTCTGACAGGCAGAGTCACATGCTTTTTTTGTGCCCTCTCCATCATCCCGGTGTTATTGCATTCTGTTGATATGGCTCTTTAGTGCCCGAATGATGTATGTTCTTATTACATTTTATTAATAAACAGCACAACAGAGCGTGACATGAGAAAGTGAGAGCAAAAGAGAGGTCAATTTGAATATGAATGATACATACAGATGCTTCCAATAAATATTAGCCTATTTCTAACTTTTGGTACATTAAGACCCAGACAAATAATAACGCTATTGTGCATGAGCAAGGTTGTTGTTTTTTTTAGATGCATATTCTGCCAGCAGTGGTAATAAACAAAAGTAGAGTCATTTCTTTAACGTTACCACTTCTGTTTTTTCCAACAAGAAGTGTAGCACAAGATAAACATGCTCCTATATTTACCATATTTAGCATTGTCCGATTTGTTTTGGCAAGTGTTATCAGTTTGTTCAGGTGGTTTTATTCAACTGGTTCAAACCGTAATGATTCAATGATTCACAGAAGTCTCTGTTTGTCATATTGCTTCTTTTTTTAGTGCAAAATATTTAGTTTGCTTTAGCTGTTAGCAGTTTGTAGTGTTGCTATCTGCTTTTAATATGATTAGCATTTAGCTTGGTAAGCTACCCCTGATAGCACACGTACATCCCGGAGACATCTATTTGACGTCTGCATTTACATCTGCAAGACGTATTTTTTAGAGTGTTTGCTCATCTGCAATACGTCTATAGGACGTTTCCTATCAGATGTCAAATAGATGTTTAGAAAACGTCTTTAAGATGTTTATGATTTAGAATGTATCTAAAACTGACATCTTAAAGTTGTCTATCAGATGTTTGTACACAGCAGATGTTTTCTAGATGAAGCGATCTTTAACAGACATCTTGCAGACGTACCTGTGCTATCTGGGTGTAATACTGTCCGATTAATTTTAGTGAATCAGTTTGTTTTGATGGTTTGTTTGTTAACAGCTTGTAGTGTAGCTAACTACTGTTATTACGATTAACATTTAGCTTGGAAAGCTACAGTTGTAGTAGCTTCTGTCTGCAAGACGTATTCTCTGATGAAACATTACATTTTTAGGCTGTTGGTTAGGCTGAACAGTAAATATCAAATCAGCTGTTTTTCAGTAAACTTTGATCTCTGGCTTGAATCAATTCTTAAGGTGAGGTTTCATTAGGCGAAATTTTTCGGCCTCACACAAAATTCCTAATCACGTGTATGGATTTCATTGCCGAAAATTAGCAAATTAATGCTAAATGTGACCACATTTTTACTGCTTTAGGGAGAATCTTTATGTTTCTGGGTAAAAAAAACAACAACTTTTTCGTCTATTATAAAGATATTGAATGTTCTCTTCATGTTCTTCTACAGAGGTCAACTGTCGGACTGCCATCGCGAAAGGCTACATCGCAGATCTTCTGAAGCTGTACGAAGACTGGCACAACAATGACGTCAACCTTACGAACATTCCTATCCTTAGAGCCCTACTTCATTGTCTGCAACGTGCCGCCAACTCAGCTGTCGGCAGAGATGCCCTGGTCGCTGAAGGTGGCATTAGTCTTCTCTTCCAGACCACTCAGGTGATATTTTGGCCCACTATTTGGTCCCAAAGTTCTCGTTATTTGTCATATCATGGTAATTTTTTGTACTTTGGTACTTTTTTTTTTACTACTTTCTGTAATTACGTTTCTCTGTTCCTGATGCTTTCATTTTTGCCCTTTGAATCGTACTGTGCTTTACTTACTAAGTAAACTGGCTCTAGACATTACCATGCTCTGTCTGCTAATGTGCTGTAAAGAAGCAATTTTTTTCTTCTGATGCATATTTTGCCCAGAGGAAATGTCACTTAGAAATCACATGTAGCACCTTGAAGTATTTCTAACCGATTGCATTTCATCTGAAGACCTGCTTGACCATGAAAGGCCTTGAATCTCTGGTGGAACCGGTGATCCAGCTGATGAGGAAGTGCAATCCCAAAGTCCCTCTTCCACTGACCTCAGATAAGAGTGCCTTCAGCTTTCCTCTTCCTGGGAGGCCTGTCGATGACTGGGATGCTGATTTAGGACTTTACGGTAAGGTTTATGTTCCCTAGGTTTTTAAGCCAGGTTCTTTATTACACTGCCAAACACCCAACAGTTACTATTATTCTCCTCTCACAGTGTGTCCGTTAGGGACGCTGAGTCTGTCCCACTAGAGATATTTAGCCTTTACACATTGCCTTTAGCTATTAGTGCCTGACAAAGTCCTTATTGGCCAGGCCAAATTTGCAGTTGTTATCACATAGGCGCTGAGCATTTAATGACTCTAGAAAATTCTTTCAATGTCAACACAATATATAATATCCAATTTTACTCTATTAGACTTTGATAGCAAGAATAGTATAATCAGAGTACGTGAGTTGGGAAAGTTCAAAGTGTTTATATCCAGACCACTCACTGATTCCCTCCAAGCATCAAATTGTTTTCTAATAAATTAATACAATTATAAACAAATATATGGACTGGATGAAAAACAAAAGGCTGATTATTTTGGCAGTGGATGCATAACCATGTCTACACTTGAAGTGAGCAACTTGATGCAATACAACAAAGCAAAAGTTATTATATATACAGTATATATATATATATATATATATATATATATATATATATGAAGAGTTTGGTTCCAAAACGCTATAAATCCATTTTATCTTTACCAAGAAAGTGGCAAGATGAAAACCACTATTTTCTGTTTCAAACTTTCACATAGCATCTTTAGGTTATGATAACATTAACAATTCAAATCCAGATTTTGGTTTTCAAAGATTTTGTATAAAATCCCAAAATGCAATAAATCCATGACACTTTTTTTTTCTTCAAAATGCAATAAATCCATTGAATCAATATAAAAGTTATTTTTCATATTGAAACTGTTGAAAATACACAACATAGTAAGTTGATCCACATATGACAGCCTCTGAACTTGGTCAATACT